CGCGTCTTTGACACCAGAACTGAGGCTTGGCTGGACTGTCCCCCGACTCCAGTGTTGCCTGAGGGGCGCCGGAGCCACTCAGCCTGTGAGTGTTTGTTACTTCCCGGTGGAGATCCCTTCCTGCCCTCCTCACACTCTTGACCTTTCCTCTCTCCTTCCAGTTGGCTACAATGGGGAGCTGTACATCTTTGGTGGCTATAATGCAAGGTTGAACCGGCATTTCCATGACCTCTGGAAGTTTAATCCTGGTAAAGAGCACTGCCTTTAGGGGAGGAACAAGGAGCAATTGAGGTGGGAGGAAAAGAAAAGAATCCTGAGGAGGTGAGGGGATGGGGGCAGGGAAGATACCTGGACTAGACAGGTGTTGAACTTCCATGTAAATTTCTCTTCAGTGTCCTTTACCTGGAAAAAGATTGAACCGAAGGGGAAAGGGCCATGTCCCCGCCGGCGCCAGTGTTGCTGTATTGTTGGTGACAAGATTGTCCTCTTTGGGGGTACCAGGTTAGGAGGAGAGAGGGAATGGGCTCAGGGAAGTGACTAATGGGAGAGAGGGAGGTATTTGAAAAAGGGGTCTCAGGAGTAGTTTTCATCCTACTTTCATCTCTTTTGATCGCGACAGTCCATCTCCTGAGGAAGGCCTGGGAGACGAATTTGACCTCATAGATCATTCTGACTTACACATTTTAGACTTTAGTAAGTACAGTTATTCCTGAATTGCTCCTGCCATCAAGGTCCCTGTCTTTGGGTGGTGATATCCAGGACTGAACCCTTTCCTCAGCTTTGACCATCTCCTTTCTACAACTTCACCCCTAAAGGCCCTAGTCTGAAGACTCTGTGCAAACTGGCCGTGATTCAGTATAACCTGGACCAGTCCTGTTTGCCCCATGACATCAGGTACAGTGAGTGGTTGGAAGTGGGGGATTGGGTGAGGGTGAGTGAGCAGCACACGTGTGACCTGATTCAGTATGGAGGAGACAAATGTTTTTGTTCTGGAGATGTAGTATACTTGTGGGAAGTGAGATGAAAGGGGGTGAGTGAGCAGCACAGGTGTGACCTGATTCAGTATGGAGGAGACAAATGTTTTTGTTCTGGAGATGTAGTATACTTGTGGGAAATGAGATGAAAGGAGGTGAATTGACAGCCATCATATAAAACTATCAGCAGAATAAATTATATGAAAAAAATCCAGCTCAGCAGCATCACTTTCTGAGACCTAAGCTTATACAGTTGTTTTTGTGAACATGCTGAGAACTGATTAAATCTTAGAACCTAGCTGCAAAGTAAAGACCGGTTTAGGAGCCTCTGGATCACACTGGTTCTAGAAGATCTGGCTGCTTCCCTTTGAATTTCATTCTTAGGTTCCAGTTAACCACCAAATGTTACTTTGTATATAATTTTTCCTGACTGGGTCATTCTAAGACACTTCCTCTCTTTGTATCAGTGTAGTTTAACTCTTGCTGGTTGGGCATGATGGCTCAGGCTTGTAATCCCAGCACTTTGGAGGTTGAGGTGGGCAAATCACTTGAGGTCAGGAGTTCGAGACCAGCCTGGCCAACATGGTGAAGCCCTCTCTCTTAAAAATAACAAAAATTGGCCAGGTGCAGTGGCTCACGCCTGTAATCCTAGCACTTTGGGAGGCCGAGGTGGGTGGATCACCTGAGGTCAGGAGTTCAAGACCAGCCTGGCCATCAGGGTGAAACCCCATCTTTAAAAATAAATAAATAAATAAATAAATAACAAAAATTAGCCACTTGTGGTGGCAGCCACCAGTAGTCTCAGCTACTCTCAGGGCTGAGGCCAAAGAATTGCTTCAGCCCGGGAAGCTGGGGTTGCAGTCAGTCGAGATTCTGCCAGTACACCACTGCACTCTGGCCTGGGTGACAGAATGAGACTCTCAAAAAAATAATATGATGGGATTGGCAGGGAAGGCCCAGGAAGGATAGGAGAGCTAAGTCAGGACCTTAAAAGGATGAAAGTTGAGAGCCAAAATTGGTATTCTGGTGGGGGTGAGGCATTCCTGGTGAGGGTAAGGTGGAGGGGCTGCCTGGTTGGCTCTAAACAGTAGGAAAGGCAGGTTGGGATGTTGACTGACATGTATACACTGATCTCAGGTGCCTGGACACTAGAATATGCATATATATATATATATATATATATATGTGTACATAAACAGGAAATCCATATGAGCTTGGAGGTAGAAGAGTGGGTGGTGTTGCATTTGGTAGTGGGTGGTTCTGATTGTTAAACCCAGTAGGTCTCTAAGTAAGAGGTGGCTGTGGATAGTTGAGCTTTAGGAATTTAGAGGGACTGGTGTGTTTATGGCTTGATTCAAGCATCTCCGGGCTTGGGCTGAGGGCTCCCTCTTCTTTCTGTTACGGGCCTTCCAGGTGGGAGCTGAATGCCATGACCACCAACAGCAATATCAGTCGCCCCATCGTCTCCTCCCATGGGTAGGAGGAAGTTTCTGCCACCTCCCCTCCTGAGCCTGCTGTCATCTTCACTGCCCCTGCCCATCTGTCACCCACCTGCTCCTTTGGACCCTGGACTTGGTATACCTCTATGTGGAGTTGTTGGGCGAGAGGTGTTCTTTGTACTGTGAATTCAGTGGGGGGCTATAGGGGGGTGGGGGCCGGGTTCCTACCCCCTTGGGCCGAGAGCCCCTTCCCTTGGTGCTCTGTCCCCATCCACCTCCCTTCAGCTGCTCCTGGGTCTCGGCTCTGCCCCGGGCCAGCCAGGTTCTGCTGGGAAGGGAAGGGGATGGGGAGAAGGGAGAAGCAAGCAGTGTCTGAGCCTCAGGAGCTTCCCCCTCCCACTTCGCCTATCCCCTCCTCCTGCTTGAGCCTTGAGCCTTGACTGGGAGCTGAAAGGAGTTGCAGCTTTTGGCATGAGACCTCCTTCTCCCCGACTTGGGGAGGCGGGGACCAGCAGATAATCCCACCCTTCCTTGAGCTGTCGCTGTACCCTGAAGCTCAGCCAGCTCAGATTTTATAAAAATGAATTAAAACCTCCAAACGTGTCCGTGTGTTTTTGTGGAATATGGTGGAGAGGGCTGGAGTTTGCAGTGGGGGCAGGGTGCTGAGGACTAGCACCCTGAGGTTCTGGCTTCTCAGCCAAGGGTATTAGGAAACCAAATGCCACCAAGGCCTGGGCCAGGCTTCTCGGGCGTGGAACCCAGCGCCCTGCGACTCGAGTAGACGGTTGCGACAATCTCTCCGGAGCGGGCTATCCTTTTGGCCCGGCTCCCAGGCCGCTGGCAGCCCAGTCTGTTTTCAGCCCGTTCGTCACCACGTTGGGACGGCCTCCGGGGAACGCCGGAAGAGGCGGGGCAGGAGCTGGCGGAAGCGGAAGCGGTGCCATTAGTCTTCCGAGCGCTACGACTACTGATGCCGGGAGCCGACCGCCGTTTCGGGCCCGGGGCCCGACGTCCCCGCGGGGCCCGGGACCACGGGGAGGACGGCGGGGGCCTGGAGCCCGGGTTCGCGGCCCGCGACCTGCTCAGGGGTGAGGGCATGGGGCAGGGCGGGCTGGGGAGGGGAGAACTCCCAGGCTGGGCCCTGGGCGCCGGTAAGACTGCCAAGTTCTCTGAGAGGCAGACGCTGGGGATGCCCCCAGTGGAGTGGAAAGTGGGAGTGAATGGAGACGTTTCCGGGATTACGACAATCTGAGAAGTTTCTTCACGGCCGGATGAGAGCTTTCGGCAATAGGGAAAGCATGTGCAATAGCACAGAGGCAGGAAAAGGCATGCAAGTTTGCTGAAGACTTAGTAGGTCAGAATTAAGCAAATTCCGTAGACTTTTTAAAATTTAAATTAATTTTTAAAAATTTGAAACAAAGTCTCTCTTGCCCAGGCTGGAGTGTAGTGGCGCGATCACGGCTCACTACGGTCGAACTCTCGGGCCCAGGAGCTCCTCCCACCTCAGCCTCCCGAATAGCTGGGACTACAGGCGTGAGGTACGCCTGGGTTGTTTTTGTTTTTTTTGTTTTTTTCTTTGTAGGGATAAGGCCTCACCATATTACCAGGTGCCAGGGCTGGTCTCGAATTCCTGGGCTCAAGTGAACCACCCGTCTCAGCCTCCCAAAGATTACAGGCATGAGCCACTGCACCTGGCAAATTCTGCATACTTTTTGTTAAGGCACAGTTCTGGCTGCTGGAGATAGAGCTGTGAATAAAGTAGTCAAACACTCCTGTCCTGGAGTCAAACACACCACACCTGAGTGTGGTGACTCACACCTGTAATCCCAAAACCAGGGGAGGCCGACGTGGGAGAATCAGTTGAGCCCCCGAGTTCAAGACCGGTCTGGGCAACATAGTGAGACCTCTTCTCTACTAAAAAATAAAAAAAATTAGCCAGGTGTGGTGGCCCACGTCTGTAGTCCTAGCTACTGAGGAGGCTGAGGCATGAGGATAGTTTGAGTCCAGGAGGTCAAGGCGGCAGTGAACAGTGATTAGGCCACTGCACTCCAGCCTGGGCAGCAGAGTGAGTCCTTTTTAAAAAATAAAATTTAAGGCAGACAAGTAAATTATTAAGAGGCAATAAAACACTTAATTGTAGACTTCAGAGGGGTGGATTTTATGGAATATGAATTGTATCTCAATTTTTTTAAGGCAATAGAGGACATGGAGAAAAAATAAAGCTGAGGAGGAGTTGCAGTTTTTGCTTTGTTTTTGAGACTCCCTCAGTTGCCCAGGCTGGAGTGCAATGGCGTGATCTCTGCTCACTGTAACCTCTGCCTCCCAGGTTTTAAAGCGATTCTCCTGCCTCAGCCTCCCGAGTAGCTGGGATTACAGGCAAGCACCACCATGCCCGGCTAATTTTTGTCTGTTTGTAGAGACAGGGTTTCACCATGTTGGCCAATCTGGTCTTGAACTCCTGACCTCAGGTGATCCTCCCGCCTCGGCGTCTGAAAGTGCTGGGATTACAGGTGTGAGCCACTGCACTTGGCCAAGGGGTTGCAATTTTAAATAACTTAGAAAAGGCCTCTTTGGGAAGGTGATTTGAACAAAGGCTTGAAGGAGCTGAGGGGAGAGCTGTACATAGGTCTGGGGGTAGTGTAGCAAGCAGAGACAGCATCATAGGCAGAGGAACTGAGGTGGGAACGTACTGCTAGGAGACCCGTTGACGAGTGAGAAGGAGGTGAGTAGATGAGTTACATTATGGGCCATGTCACTTGGGTGCTTTCAGGCTGTTGTAAGGTACATGGATTTTACTGCGGCAAGATGGAACCCATTGAGGACTTTTGCTTATAGGAGTAACCTGTTCTGAAGTTTATATGGGGGAGTGGCAAGATCCGATTTTATTTTTGATGCGTGTCTCAGGCTGAATTGGGGCGCATAGCTTTGAGAGGAGTGAGACTGCAGGTTGGGAGACTAGGAGGCTAGAGCAGTGATTGAGGTGAGAGATGCTGAGAGTATGGACCAGGACACTGGCAATGGTAAGCAAGGGAGGCAGAGGCCCTTGTGAAGAAATCTGTGAATGAGTAAAAGAGAGAGTGGGAAAAGAAGGGGATATGGTTTGGTCCACCTTTGACCTTACATATACACGTTCCTTAGCAAGATGAGGCCCCAGGTCGCTGAAATAGTTGGAGAGTTAAGTGTCACTGTAACCTTCTTACAGCCTGTACTGCCTAGGACTTGTAATAATGATTGGTCTGATGGTATTAGAAAGGATTAGCTAGCTAAGGAATGGGGATGGGAAGATGTCTTTTGTGCAGTGGGACATGCTGAGCTGAATTGTATGTCCCTCCCCACTTCCACAGGCACATCTAACATGTCATTTGAGGAACTGTTGGAATTGCAGAGCCAAGTGGGGACTAAGGCATACAAACAATTGGTAGCTGGAAACAGCCCTAAGAAGCACAGTCCTAGACCACCTATTCAAAATGCACGTGTTGCAGATAAGCACAGGTAAGCAAGCCTTGCCCTAGTAGTTGGAAGATAACTGGGACCTTGAATAGGTGTATGTTGTCGTGAGTGGCAGGTGGGAAGCCTTTGACCAACACTGGAGTCCTCTTGACTTGGCCTTTAATTTCTCCGTAGGCCTCTGGAAATGTCAGCCAAGATCCGAGTACCATTTTTACGTCAGGTTGTTCCCATCAGTAAAAAGGTGAGAAAGAGGGCCAGGCGAGGTGGCTCACACCTGTAATCCCAGAACTTTGGGAGGCCGAGGTGGGCAGATCATCTGAGTTCAGGAGTTCCAAGACCAGCTTGGACAACATGGTGAAACCCTGTCTCTACTAAAAATACAAAAATTAGCTGGGCATGGTGGTGTGTGCTGGTAGTCCCAGCTGCTTGGAAGCCTGAGGCATGAGAATCGCTCGAACCTGGGAGGTGGCGATTGCAGTGAGCCAAGATCATGCCACAGCCCTCCAGCCTGGGAGACAGAGTGAGACTCTGTCACAAAAAAAGAAAAAGCGGTGAGGACGAGACAGGAAGCACTTTTTCTCAGTGAAAGGAGACTGAACAGTTCTCTTTTATATTCTTTGTGTTCTCTCCAAAGGTAGCCCGGGACCCTCGCTTTGATGATCTGTCAGGTGAATATAATCCTGAGGTGTTTGACAAAACATATCAATTCTTGAATGACATCCGAGCGAAAGAGAAAGAGGTATACAGCTTGAGACTGGTTCAAGGGGAGTTTTGTGGGGTGGAAATCAGGGCACAGGTTAGAGAGTTGGGCAGGGTGAGCGGAAAGTATAGTGGTGGGCAGATTTAACTCTAATTCAGTTCATATTCAAATCCTGGCTCATCAATTTACTAGCTGTGTGACTATTGGCATTTTACTTACTCTCTCTATGCTTTAGTTTTCTAATCATAAGAAAGAAAATAATAATTACTGTCTTAGAGGCCGGGTACGGGGGCTCACGCCTGTAATCCAGCACTTTGGGGGACTGAGGTGGGCAGATCACTTGAGGCCAGCAGTTCAATACCAGCCTTGCCAACATGGTGAAACCCTGTCTCTCTTAAAAATACAAAGATTAAGGCCAGGTGTGGTGGCTCATGCCTGTAATCCAAGCACTTTGGAGGCCAAGGCAGGTGGAGCCTGACCAACATGGTGAAACCCTGTCTTTTTTTTTTTTTTTTGAGGAGGTGTCTCGCTCTTGTTACCTAGGCAGGAGTGCAATGGCACGATCTCGGCTCACCGCAACCTCCGCCTCCCGGGTTCAGGCAATTCTCCTGCCTCAGCCTCCTGAGTAGCTGGGATTACAGGCACGTGCCACCATGCCCAGCTAATTTTTTGTAGCTTTAGTAGAGACGGGGTTTCACCATGTGGACCAGGATGGTCTTGATCTCTTGACCTCGTGATCCACCCACCTCGGCCTCCCAAAGTGCTGGGATTACAGGCGTGAGCCACCGCGCCCAGCCGAAACCCTGTCTTTTAAAAAAAAAAAATTAGCCAAGTGTGGTGGTGTATGCCTGTAGTCCTAGCTACTCAGGAGGCTGAGACATGAGAACCGCTTGTGCCCTGGAGACAGAGGTTGCAGTGAGGCAAGACTGCGTAACTGTGCTCCAACCTGGGGGCAGAGCAAGACTCTGTCTCAGAACAAACAAAGAAACAAACAGTTACTGTCTTGGTGTTATCAAGTTAATATGTGTGAACCTCTTAGGATGATGCATTACATAAAATTTCAGCCAACATTTGCAGAATGCTAACCGTGATACTCATTTTCCAATGTGGAGCTTGTGAAAAAGCAGTTGAAGAAGCACCGTTCAGGAGAGGAGCATGAGAAACTGCAGCAACTGCTTCACCGAATGGTGAGTGGCTAATAACTGTCTGGGTAATGAAAGCAGTGAAAAGTGGGGAGATGCTCACAGCCCCTCCTATTCGTGCATCTCATCTTCGCTTCTCAGGACCAGCAAGAAATGGCACAGCAGGAACGAAAGCAACAGCAGGAGCTGCACCTGGCCCTGAAGCAGGAACGTCGGGCTCAGGCCCAACAGGGCCATCGGCCATACTTCCTGAAGAAATGTGAGTTGGGCACAACTATTGCTAACCAGGTTGGGGGTGCGGGGCCCATAGTGGCAGAGTCCTGTGTTGAGGTGTCCCTGAGCCCCTTTAAGGAAGGCACGAAGGCTGGATTTCATGGTAACTTGGAGGAAAGTAGAAATAGTAGGGAGGAATTATTTGTGACCAGTCTTGTATCCCTCTTTAGATCATGGCAGTGATTGTCACTTTTATCTCTTGGTCAACACTCCCTTCTTCGCACCACATACACACCCATACCCACTACACACACACCACCACTACCACCACACACACACATGTACGGCAGTTATTGTCACTTTTATCTCTTGGTCTACACTCCCTGCTTTGCAACACACACACACACACGAAGGGCCAGGCACATAGACACACACACACACACACACACACACACACACACACAGAGAGGGACAGGCACATAGAAGGTGTTCATAGTTGGTCAAATTGAGTAGGACTGAGATCATATAAAAAGCCACCAGTTGGGCCGAGTGCTGTGGCTCAGGCCTGTAATCCCAGCACTTTAGGCCAAGGAGGGTGGATCACTGGAGGTTGGGAGTTCGAGACCAGCCTGGCTAACATGGTGAAACCCCGTCTCTACTAAAAACACAAATATTAGTTGGGTGCAGTGGCGCACATCTATACTTGGGAAGCTGAGGCAGGAGAATCGCTTGAACCCAGAAGACAGAGGTTGCAGTGAGCCAAGATCACACCACTGCACTGTAGCCTGGGTGACAGAGTAAGACTCCGTCTCAAAGAAAAAAAAAGGCACTAGTGAGCTTTAAACAACTCATGTATCCCAGCATATGGCTTGGAGTTACTGACCTGGTTTGGGAAAGGATGGGGCTTCCTTCTTTGCTCACTGTCTTTTATTCTCCCTGTCATTTAGCTGAGCAGCGCCAGTTGGCACTAGCTGAGAAGTTCAAGGAGCTGAAACGCAGCAAGAAACTGGAGAGCTTCTTGAGTCGCAAGAGGCGACGAAATGCAGGCAAGGACAGGAAACATCTCCCTTTGAGCAAAGAACAATAAGGAACTATCCGCTGCTCTGCCACTGCCCCAGGGAGACACGGATCTGTGAGGACAGATTTGGCCTCAGCTCCTTTATGTTCAAGGGCAAGGATCACAGCTGCCCTTGATTTTCATTGCCTCAGAGAAAACTAAAGGCCTCTTGGACGGCTCCTAGGGCTAGACAAGAAGAATAGTTCAGCCTTCTGCCATGCCATGTGGCCTCAGCTTGGATCTGGTTCATTGTGTCCTTGTGTTCTTTCATCCTTACCTTAAAACAGGGATTCTGATCCCGAAGAAGAGGGACCAGTGAAGACTATGGCGGTCTGTCCATGACTCTCAGGGCTAGGACATTATGTAGGAGCCACTTCATAAACATTCTCGTTACTCATCTTTTTATTATTCTGCTTTTTGTGGGGTTTTGTTTCGTTTTCTTTTTCCCCTGACACAAAGTCTTGCTCTGTCATCTAGGCTGGAGTGCAGTAGTGCGATCTCGGCTCACTGCAACCTCCAACTTCCAGGTTTAAGTGGTACTTGTGCCCCAGCCTGCTGAGTAGCTGGGATGACAGCCATCCACCACCACGCCTGGCTAATTTCTTTTTTTTTTTTTTTT